CCTCTGGATCTATGTTTTTGAAGAAAACAAAAGGATTTATCTTTTAAAAGCAATGCAACTTGTATAAGGTCATACAAGTTCATCAAAGGAAAATTTGCAATCGTGAATTCACATGTCTTTCCATTTGCTCTTGCCACAGCATACTTAATGTTTTGAACTATGTTTTCAAAAACCACATCTCTTTTCATACTTATCACCTTTTTGATTTTAATCAATGACCAAACCTCTTCAGGGACTTTACCAAGAACAGCATGAAAACGAATTTTCATGTGTGTGCCTTCATCTTTTTCCTTGAAACTCCCTTCATCTTTGAGCTATGGCATAATAAACATCATTTCGTTTATAGGGAAATCCGACTGACATACATCAGTATTTGTAATCACATAACTTTGCTTTGGCTTCTTTTCGAATGAGTACATATGATTGAAAGCAACCTTGGCTTCGATTGTTCCATAGTTATAGTGTTTTGCTGGATCACCTTTATCCATCCCCTTCGGATCACTAGCCCTCTGAGTCATGATGCTTTGAATAAGCCTCATTTTCTCCAATTCAGCCTCTGTTTCTGCCTTTTTCTCTTCTTTTGATTTTTCAATGAGAATTGATTTCCCTTTGTCTTTTGAAACAGGTTTGTTAGTAATCTCCTTTGGCTTCGAACCACTCCCACCAGTTTCCAATGGTTTACCAATTACAATTCCTTTCGAAATTGGTCTTGCAATTGGCAATGTTGTTATGATAGTTGAAGTCGCTGGTTCAACAGATACAATCACTGGTTTTGTTGAAGGGATGTTCGAAGGAAATACTTTGCCTACCACTTTCGCTTCTTCTTCTGCTGACTTCCTTTCTCCCCCTTGCACCCCTATGATAACAGGTGGGCAGTTCTTGTGGGAAGAAGACTTGTGATGCGAAAGAGTGGTGCTAGCTATTTGTTGAGTATGGCTTCGCACTGAACAAACTTTTGAGATAAAAATTCTGGAGTGATCAATGGGGACGAAACCGGCTTTGTTGAAATCTCTTTCAACTCCTTTAGCAACTTTATTATTTCTTCAAAACTTGCAGTTTCGTATGTTGAGATTTGAGTAATTTGAGGACTGAAACCTTCATATAACTTGAAAAAACGAGTAACAACATCACAAATGATATCGACCTTCTGATGCAAGGACGCATAATCATGTTTAACAGAGAGAATTTCCTTTTTCATATCTTCACGAAGTTCATGAATTTGTGAGTTAACATCCTCCCTCACCTTCTTTACCTCTTGAACAAAAAGAACATGTCGTTCTTTTGTTATACTTCTTAGATCCTTAACTTCTCCCATAAAATTAGATCGTTGATTTTTAACACGAAGTTCATTGTTCTGATCCGTGTAATCAACTTTCTCCATAATCACTAATTCAGAAGCTTGCAACATCCCAGATACTTTGGTAATGATTATTGATTCTAACAGCTTCAGCATGGAATCAACCTCCAAACTCGAAATAGATGAACCGCCTCCAAGATCAGCTTGAGATTGAATGATTGACTTCAACTTCTGATTAAGAATTATATACTGCTTCATAGTCATCAACATATGATCAGGAAATTCTTCTTCTTCGTCATCAAACTCCAACTCTTCGAATATGCCACCAAATCCTTCATTATTTGTTTCAGTCTCTATTTCTATGTTTTCGTGAATAGGTGAAGGTGGTTTGGGTGTTTCAGTGAATTGAGAAGAAAACATGGACGTAATGGGATCATTAATAATATGTTCAAAGGTAGGAGAGTCTGTGGTTGATATGATAGGAATAGTAGATGTTGGTGTAACAGAAACAAATGATTTGAAAGGAGTAATAAGAACTGAACCTTGATCTAGTTTCTTCGAACCTCCTTCACCCATGTTGACATTTGCATCTGTATCAGATACGTGTGCAGGGATGCCTGAAGTGCGAACCTCCTCAAAAGTTGATTCGGCAATCGGAACTTCGGGTGGTATGACAGTTGTCTTCTCAGGAGTTGAACTTGTAATGAGATGAGTAAATTCAGGTGTTTCTGGAATCCTTTCATCTTCTTCTGTGGACTCAGTAGATGCAACAAGTTTTCGTGTCTTCTTCTTTTTCTTCGTTTAGGACAAGTTCTTTTCCATATCTTCAGCTACTCGTTTCTTTGACCCAGGAGAAACTGGAGCAGGTACCGTACGAATTAAAACTCCTTGGTGAGTAATCTGAGGTTTTCGAACCATTTACTGTGATAGAGACTTGCGTTTGTGAGTATATTTTATCTTGATTCTTCGAAACATCCCAGTTTTCGAAGGAATAATCACATTCTCTTGAGTTTCTTCAACAATTGGCTCAATCACTTGGGTTGCATCAACTGTTACCTCAACATTTGCAGTCTTCTTCTTTGGAGACTTTGAGGATTTCAAACCCTTTATTTTCTGTTCAGGTGAAGCAGGAGCAACCTTCTTTGACTTTTTCGATTTCTTTTCTTCGCGAGGCAACAAAATTCTCGTTAGAATAGAAGAGTCAATGGACTGCAAATAGGCTATCAAGATTGAATTTGAAGAATCCACCCTCTTAAGCATTGCATCTGGAATTCAAGCAACATTGGGGAATTTATCAGCATTATCCCCACTTTCCTTCAGATAATGATAAGATTGAAACGTAACTTTCTCATCTTCATTTGGGACCAAAATACCTTCTTTATTGTAAAAGTATTGAAGAATAAGGCTCCAGTACCTTGCACACGAAATTCCATGAACACCATTCGTATGTTCTACACCCTTTTGGAACTCCTTCCATAGTTGTGTAGAATAATCTTCTTCAAGATCATAATAAAGACCTGCAACCATAGCATATACTTCCATTCGACCTTTGTCTAGCCCAACAGTTCTTCCAGTCAAAAAACAAAGAAAGATTCCAAACATGAAATTCCATAAACGTGGAAGTCCTGACTTCTTAAAATCACTGATTTTTGCCAATGGGGGCTGATATCCCATTTCATTGAACCTGTGAACGATTTGAGGGAATGTAAACTCAACAAACGGAGGTGAATTCGGAATATCAAGAATCTGACAGAAAAGTTTCTTGGATAACCTAACCTTCTTGTCATTCACCAGATGGAAAGTGATTGTATCTGAGGCTTTGTTGTATGTTGTTGTGGATCCTGCTTGAGAAAGCCAGGATAATGGAACAGAAAACGAATTAAACATTGTCGTTGATAACACAGAATGCTTTAAGGCCACAATAAGCATCTTCAATTCTTCGGGATATTGAGAAACTTCACCATCCACATAGTAGTTAGTGGATTGTGTCTTCATAACTGGAGCAGAGGAAATATCTTTAGTTGAAGGATCAACGTGAGCAGTAGTTGCCATTGTTAGGGTTTGAAGAAGATGAAGAACAGAGAATTTGGGAATTTTTTAGTTTGATCGCGTAAACGTGTAAAGTACTCTTGAACCCCCTTTTATAAGTAACCCTGAATGATTTGAATTTGAAGCGGGATGCATTTAATGATATCCGACGTGGCACCTTGAAAATCGGACCATTACTGCGGAAAAGTAGCCATGCGTCAAAAAGTAGCTGTCACTTCACCTAGAAAATCGGACAGAATACCATACGTCATAGATACACATCTTGTCATTATCCCCTCAAGAGAATTGTAACCGTTAGAACCCTTCGAATGGAAGCTAGTCTCTCTCACTTTTGGGATTAAAAGCGAAGTCATATGCCAGATGTTCGAAATCATCAGCCTGAGTTGGTATTACTCAGAACCTCAAGTATTTTGTGTGTGCAGTGTTCCAAAGAAAGTTAGACAAGAAACAATTATAAAAAAAAAAAAAAAAAAAATTGGAATGTGGTGATGTCAAAAATGCAATTTGACACAAAGGCAGTTAAACCCCAGGAAAAGGTTGCTTCGTTAACCATCAAGAAAGATGATCAAAAGCTTGTGTATGTTCCCGTGAAGTACAATCGAATACTTTTTAATAAGTATCAAAGGGCTTCATTTGAAAATGCTTCGTGGGTAGGTTCAAAATTTCGTTACATGTCAACCTAAACATAAGGTGATAAAGTGTAACAGAAATTACTTGTTTGACAAGTGTAGTCAGTGACAAGTTGGCTTTGAAATTTTTTTAACATAACTGGGACATTCCAATGAAACTCACACTGAAATCATACTCATGAAAAAAATTTGTGTACTGGATCTTGTTGGGTAACAAACATCGTGGGTTTCGAATGTTTGATCAAGACTACTCATTCAAAATGAATATGATTTGGAGTTTCGAACCTTGGTACAGAAACAAAAGTTTCGTATATATCTGGAACAATGTTCCCCATCAATTCCTTAATTTTCAAGATGTTTGGGTTTCACTTTCATCACAGACTCATGATGTCAGATCATAAACACAGAGTTGTTATATACTAAGTCTCGATGGGTTTGATCAGAGACCTCTCGGACATACGTCTTTGTGTGTGATCGTGTAAGAATATTATGGATGAAAAAGATTGGTATAAGACACGAAAAATACCTCTTTTATGTTTTGGACCAAAAAGAAAACTCTTTACTTAGTTTGAGAAGAGTAAGGTAGCTCAGAGACTAATGTGAATATAAGCCTGATTGGGAAGAAATTTTCGTATGAAAATTTTCATTAAGGTTTTCGTACACACACATTGAGTCATGGAGGCTTTGGACAACATGCAGCAACATGCTTCTGAGGACATCCTAACTAGTTTGAATAATGAGAAACATATCGATTCATACGAAAAAAATTTACCTGACCCTTATACTGCTTGCTTTGTCCCCTTTGAATCATCATCATAATCTGCAATAAAATTCTAAAAATAAGTAAAAATATTTTTGTTGTTTTCAAATTTTTCAAAAATAAAGACATAACAAAATAAAATCTTTTTGGATTTTTGATTTTTCGAAAATATAAAAACAAAACAAAACAAAATCTTTTTGGATTTTTGATTTTTCAAAAATATAAAAATAAAACAAAAGAAAATCTTTTTGGATTTTTGATTTTTCGAAAAATATAAAAACAAAAGAAAAGAAAATCTTTTTCGATTTTTGATTTTTCGAAAAATTGACAAGGAAACTGAATTTGTTACACACAGACAAATATTTGACATTCCTTTAAGAGTGACAAATATACGAATTCGAAGCGTTCAAAGCATTGAATATGAACAGTAGCCATTACCTCAACACTGAAAATAAGTAACAAACGTATGAATTCGAAGCGGTCGAAGCGTTGACCATGAACAGTAACCACTAACTCAACGCTGTAAATAAGTATCAAACATGCGAATTTGAAGCGGTCGAAGCGTTGACCATGACCAGTATCCGCTGAATACTAAATGACTTTGCTTTATGTTTTATATAGCCCTCTTATTCCTTCTTTGTCACCCATTATTCTTCTTTTTCACATGGAACAAAATTTCCATCGATCATTCCAAGCCCTTCTATTATTCTCATAAATGACTTTTCATCCAAAGGTTTCGTGAAAATATCAGCTAACTGATTAGTTGTTTTCACAAAATGTACTTCAATGTTCCCATCCTCCACGTGATCCTTAATAAAATGATAACGAAGAGCTATGTGCTTAGTCTTCGAATGTTGCACAGGATTATGACAAATTCTTATTGCACTTTGAGAATCACAATATAATGGAATCTTTTTCATATTAATTGTATAATCACGTAATTGAGTTTGGATCCATATTATTTGCGAAGTGCAAGCAGCAGCAGCCATATATTCTGCTTCAGCTGTGGAAATTGACACACACGTTTGCTTTTTCGACTGCCAACTGACTAATTTGCCATCAAGAAATTAACATCCTCCACTTGTGCTTTTTCGATCAAGATTGCAGCCACCCAAGTCTGCATCTGAGTATGCTTGAACGAAGAATCCGGTTTTCGAAGGATACCACAATCCTAACGAAATTGTTCCTTTAAGATAACGAAAAATATTATTCACAACAGTTAGATGTGGTTCACGTGGATTAGACTGATACCTTGCACAATTACACACAGAAAACATGATATCAGGTCTACTTGTTGTAAGATAAAGTAATGAACTAATCATACTCCTATACAATGTTATATCAACAGTAGGTTTGTCTAACGATTGTGTTAGCTTTATGCCCATTGCCATTGGTACACGAAGCTTTGTGCTATTTGTCAATCCAAACTTTTCTAGCAGATTTTTCGTATATTTTTCCTGATTAATGAAAATCCCTTCTCTGTTTTGACGAATATTCAAGCCAAGAAAATTATTGATTTTTCCCATCATGCTCATTTCAACCTTGCTTTTCATCAAATCTTCGAATTCTCTAGACAAAGCAGGGTCAGTCGAGCCAAAAATAATATCATCAACATAAATTTGAACAAGCATAAGATGATTCCCCACTTTCTTTCGAAATAAAGTGGGATCAACAGATCCTTGTTTAAATTTAGATTGTTTTAAAAATGATGTAAGAGTTTCATACCATGCTCGTGGTGCTTGTTTCAGACCATAAACCGCCTTATCTAAAACATAAACATGATTAGGATATTCTTCATTAATAAAACCAAGAGATTGTTCCACATAAACAGTTTCTTCAAGCTCTCCACTTAAAAATGCACACTTCACGTCCATTTGATAAACATCAAAATCTTTGTGAGCTGCATAAGCTAGAAATATCCGAACCGCCTCGAGTCTTGCGATAGGGGCAAAATTTTCTTCATAGTCGATTCCTTCTTGTTGTGAATATCCTTTTACGACAAGTCTGGCTTTGTTTCGAACAATATTTCCATCTTTGTCGGTTTTATTTTTGAAAATCCATTTTAACCCGACAATCGAAATATTTGCAGGTTTGGGAATTAATCTCCAAACCTTGTTTCTTCAAATTTTGACAATTCATATTGCATTGCAACAATCCAATCTGAGTGTTCCATTGCATTCTTAACTGTTTTTGGTTCAATTTTAGATATGAAAACATTAAACATGCAAAATTCTTGATGAGTATTCAATACCTCATTCTTTGCACGAATTTGAGCTCTTGTCATAACTCTCTCTTATGGATTCCCAATTACTTGATCCTTCGGATGATCTCTTGTCCTTTTTTCCATTGGTGGATATGCTGGATCAAATTCCAAAGGTGCATCTTCGTATATTTCATCATTTTCTAAGCCTGCATTCGAAAAAGCATCATCAACATTATGCTCCCCCTCAACAATATGCTCCCCCTCAACTTCAATATTCATTTGATCTTTCTCCCCCTCGAAAGAATGCTCTTCATCATTTAAAGTATTCGAATCCAATTTCTCCCCTTCCACATGACTGTTTTGCATACTTTCACTTTGTTGTGAAGTTGAAGTAGATTCATCAGTTAACTTTACAAATTCTGGTATGTGATTATCAGGAGCATGAACTTCATCATCAACTGCATGATCTGAAATACCAAAAACCAAACCATAATCAGTATCATCCATTTGTATAGTTTCAGTTTCAACTTGAGTTTCTTGCAAAATTGGATGATTTGCAAATGTATGCTCATTTTGTTTAATATAGTAATCATCGAATGTGAGATTGAAAGTTTCTTCCACTTTTCGTGTTCGCTTATTTAACACTCGATATCCAACAAAATTGTGCGAATATCCAATAAAAATCCCTTCATCAGCTTTTGCTTGAAATTTCGAAAGATGATCCTTGAGGTTCATAATAAAGCACCTACATCCGAAAACATGAAAGAACTTCACATTAGTTTTACGATTATTCAGAATTTCATATGGTGTAATATGAAACCGACGATGAATAAACGATCTATTTTGAGTAAAGCATGCAGTTGAAACAGTTTCAGCCCATAGATATTGAGGTAAATTCGCATATGCCAACATGGTTCTTGCTGCTTTGCATAATGAGCGATTCCTTCGTTCTACAACACCATTTTGTTGTGGTATGTATGGAGATGAAAAATTATGCGAAATCCCTTTCTCTACCAAAAATGAATCAATAACATTGTTCTTAAATTCAGTTCCATGATCACACTTGATTTTTCGAATAGTTTTCTTCAACGTGGTTTCCATCTTTTTGATGAAGTCAATCATGATTTGTGCAACTTCAGATTTGAGCCTGAGAAAATAAACCCACGTAAATATGGAAAAATCGTCAACAATAACTAAAATGTACCGTTTATTGTTGAGAGTTGAAACAGTCGAAGGACCACACAAATCAATATGTAACAACTCCAGAGGTGCAACAATTTTCGAATCAATTGTGATTGGATGACCTTGTTTATGTTGCTTGCCAACTTCACAAGTTGCACATAAAGAATCATTGTCAAATTTAAGTACAGGTAAACCTCTTACCAAATCTTGTACCATAAGTTTATTGATGTTTCGAAAGTTGAGATGTGAAAGTCTTCGATGCCATAACCAACTTAAATCAGATGTAGCTTTCGAAAGAAGACATATTGTTGGTTTGCCTATAATTGGATTGATGTCCAGAGTGAACATGTCACCTTTTCTTTTAGATTTCAGTAATACTTCTTTTGTGTTATCATTCGAAATAACACTTCCTTCTTTGTTAAAGAGAACTTGATTGCCAGTGCCTACCACAAGTTGAGAAACACTAATCAAGTTATGTTGAAGACCTTCAACATATGAAACACGATTCACTGTGAATTGTCCATTTGTGATTTTCCCATATCCCTTGACTTGACACTTCTGATTGTTCCCAAACTTTACTACTCCATCATTTTTTAGACTTCAAAAATCTATTAAATTCTCCTTCTTCCCAGTCATGTGACTAGAGAAACCACTATCAATGTACCACTTGTTATCATATTGCTCGTCACATAATACCTACAATCAATGGAAAAATTTAGGTACCCAAGGCTTTTTGGGTCCTTGGAAATGAAGAACTTTTAACCCAATCATAAACTTTGGTTTTGAGACTCTCAATTAAGTTTACTTCATCGTTTAAAGGAATTGAAACATAAGTGTTTGATAGTTTCGAATGTTCTCTGACATTACCCTTCGCTTTTTGAGTTTGTGACTGAACTGGCTTTGCTTTTGTGACTGGTCTCCAAGCTTTGACTGAGATATTCGAATCCTTGGATGATGACCTACCACTGGAAGAAGTATTGACATACTTTTCGTATGCGTCATGAATTTGCTCTTTTGAATATGTATTCGACTGATACATTTTTCCTTTTCCTTCAAGCCAATGATCAATGTTCTTTCTTGAAGTCATTCTTTTTTCCCGAGACGTCCTCATAGTTTCTTTCTTTGTGTAATTAGGAAAATTTGGCTTTTGAGGTTCAAAATCAACTTCGGGTTTTGTTACATAAGAGTAAACAAAGGATGAATCAATTTTTGATTTAAAATGTTGACATTGAAAAACTTTTTGATTTGAGTTAGATCTTTTTGAAAATTTCTTGACTTGTTCATTTCAGTAACTTTCAAAAACATTGGTTGCTTATTTACTTCAGACCTTATTTGTTTTGATTGAGATGATTGTTGGGTTATTTTAAAAGAAGCATTTTTAGTTTTGAAAGCATTTTTGGTTGATTGTAATTCAGACATCTTTTGAGACACAATATTTTGCCAAAACATTTTCTTTGTTGCTTGTCTTTTTGAAATGTTGTTTTCCTTCAAAAATTTGTCACTTTGATCTTTAAATTCCCTAGAGTTTAATTTGACAACTTTTTCTTTTTCCTTTTCAACACGTATTATTTTCTCTTTTTCAACTTTTGATTTTTCAACCCATTGTTTTTGTGGTTTTTGTTTTGATTTGCAAAAAAACCTTCCTTAGTTGTTTTTGAATTATCCTCCTCAACTATCTTCTTTAATTATGGTTTAATATTCTCAACATTTCCTGTAGTTACAAAAACTTGATTTGGAAAAATGACATCATCTATGCATTTGAAATTTGGATAAACCACCATGTTAGTTTCAAGATAATGTTCGCCTTTTTCATTCATTACTTTTTTGAACTTTTGTGTATCACCAAACACTTGATCAAGAACTATTCGTGGAATTTCTTCTTCCTTTGAGGATGCCTTTTCTTTCCAAACTTTCTCAACATCTTCATCATCACTATCATCAGTTTGGTAATCTTTGAGATCCATGAAGTTCATTTCACTAACTTTCGAAGTTGACGGTATATCAGTTTCATTCTCAACCATCAAATCCTTAACTTTTTCTTTCCCTTTAGAATTCAAAGCAACATTAATAATAGACAACTAAGAACAATCAACATCTTCAAGCTCACTAATTTCACTAATATTATCAGAATTATCTTCAATATTAGCAAAATTAGATTGAGAATCAGATGTTGAATTCTCAGTCTTTTTCAAAATGTGAATTTGTTCAGATTTAGTCAAAGTATCATTTACAATGTTAACTAAATCATCTGAATCAAGACATTCATCAACTTTGACTATTCCATATCTATACTTATTATTCAAAACTTTGTTAAAGTCAGCTATTTCCTTTTCACAGTCATACGAAATGTTATATACCTTAGCTCTTTCATAAGCTAAAAATGGCAGCGATTTTCTATGTTGTTCTTTACTGATTTTGCATGAATGATGAAGTTCAATTATTTTTCCATACAATCTTTTAGCAACATTACAGTAAATGTTCCTCTGTGCTAATAACAATTTATTATCACTAGACAAATTGTCTCTATCAACCATGATATTAGTTATTTGAAGTTCTAAACAATCTATCTTAGTGATTTTCGAATCTAATTTCTTATGTGTCTCTATCAACTGCATAGATAGCTTCTTAGCCTCATTGCTAGCAAATACCACAATCGAATCAAAATAAGTAATTCAGAATTATAAGCATGTACTGGAATATTGAAAGATTCAAGAATATTCCGTACCATTGTGGTCATTAGAGATTTGTCAGCTGCTTTTGATACGAAGCATCTCCCATGCACTTTGTATTGCCTCCTCCTCAAATTCCTCCTTTATTTTTGGAAACATTGCTCCATGGGTTGGATTTCGCATTTCCTCATCAGTTGATCCAGATGACCAGATTTGATAAGTACCTTCTTCATCCTCATTTGCACCCTTTGCAACTAGAGACAAATTTTTGGCTTTTGCACGAACCACCTCCAACTTCTCAGCATAGTACGCCTCATCCTTGACTTTATTCTTTCTTTCATCCTTCTTTCAAAGCATGCAGTTATTAGCAAGGTGATTGGCACCATTGCAATAATGACAATCTATCCCAACATCTCCCTTTAGCTTCTTTTCAGTCTTTCCCTCAACAGGCTTTGTATCTTTCATCTCTTCCTTCTTTTTCTCTTCCCCAACACTTTTATTCAGAAAGTTCCCTTTTGTCTCAGATGACTTTACCTTCGGATTGAAAGGCTTTTTGAAGAACTTTTTCACACGATTGTTTGAATAAAAAGAAATTGCCTCATCATCTAAGTTCATGATGAACCCTTCATCTTCATCAGAAGCATCTTTCTCAGCATCCCTTTCAGAGATCTTCGAAACCAAAGCTAGTGGACCTCCCAAAATAGCCTCCGATTCTTCAGCTATTTCGATCACTTCGCTTTCATGAGTCTTCAGTTGATTGTACAAATCATTCAAGGTTGTCGTATCAAAGCTCTGTTGATTCTTAACCATCATGCTCACACTAAGCCACTCCTATCGAAGTCCCATAACAAAAATAAGATTGAAATCCATGGCAGATCTGGTGATTCCACATCGATTGCATCGATAGATCAATTCATTAAGACGATCATAATAAACTTCAATAGTTTCACCATCTTTTTGTCTGAAGTCCTTCAGTTCCGCTAAGCATTGTTTCACAGAGTTAACTCTTGTCTTCTCACTTCCCTGAAATTTTTCCTTGAGATGTTCCAGATTTCCTTTGCAGTTGTACAACTCCTCACATAGTTGTAAACAATTGGAGGCAATGCTCCTCTTAGCTCTCTTACACACCTCTTCTCCAGCTTTTTCAGACGATCAGATTGATTCTCAACTTCAGAATTTCCAGAGGAAGAACCAATTGGTTGAACATTCGACGGTGGTTTGAGATTGCCAGATATGCAATTCCACAGTTCTTCATCCAATTCGTTGAGATAATCCTGCATACGATCAGCCTACTGATCATAATACTCAGGGATGAGCATAGGAATTTTGGTGGATGATCCAAGGAGATGAGAAAATGAAGTCATGGAATTCAGATTGAAAGAAGCCATTGATGTACGGATTAAATCCTTGAGAATTTTTAAAGAAACTTTGAGAATTTGACAACAAACTATATGATTCAAATCAAAATCACTCTTAGAACACTCGATTCAATGATATAAGTGTAGAATCGAATCACAGACTTAGATCTAAACAATTTTTCACTTTCAAAAAGTGCGGAAACTTTTGAATCAAAAAGTTGATTCAAAAACCTTTTGAACAATGTGAAAATCATATTAGAGATATGATTCCTGCTCTGATACCAATTGATGTGTCAAAGAATCAATTATTGATATAATTAGAATGTAAATTCAAAGTAAGATTGAAAAATTTGAACACCGATGTAAATATGATCTGTTTGGCTCTATTATGCTTTTTCAGTTTTACAGAGTACAAGTGAAAATTCTGTAAAGACTTCGTCACTAAGACACTAGCAACTACTCCTATTTATAGGAGATGAAAGCGTACAAAAAATATACTAAGGACTAAACATGATGCTTCGAATATTATGCCCTAGTAAAATACATTACAAAAATGTTTGAAGATACTAAAGACAGACTTCGACTCATTACAACATTTCGACTCTAACACCGAGTCGAAGTGAGTTTCGGGCACGTGATTAAGTGGCCTGACTCGCCGGCTAGACTTGACGAGTCGGTGTTGGATGAGGAAAAGCCCTAATCTTTGGGTTTGCACCCTATTTAAATGACTTAATGTCCTCCCCTCAGCCCCCTTAGCCCCCTTTGAGATCCAGAAACCTTACATTGTCAGAGGATAGTGGTAGGGAGATCCTCCGGGAGGAGACGATCGAGATTGTTCGGGGATAAATTCCGAAGATGATTGGGTCTTTTGAGACTGCTATAGTTGAGTATCTTGTCGATCTCATGCAGCCATTGCTGAGACGGTTGCCGCAACAGCTTTGGCAGCTGTAACGACGGCAGGGAGAGGAGTTGGACGAGCTTTCCAGGACCGGGACTTGTTATTGATACATAATCTGATGAGCAGAAGGATACACTTATCTGGGAGCAGGAAGATGACTTGTAATCATTATATTTCCGTGGGTTGAGCGGGAGAGTCTAGCTTGTGGGTTTATAGATTTGAGGCTCGGAGGTTTGCTCGAGGCCGGGATATGGGTCGTCGGAACTCCGGAAAGGAGTGATGATTATGTTCAGCTGGGGTTTTGCAGCTGGAAGTAAAATGGTTGATTGATGAATTGGACCATCATTTAATAAGGCAAGGATTACACCCTCTCAGTTTCCGATCTCGAAGGGGTGAGCAGGCTTGTGACCCCAGGATCAGGTGTATTCCAGCTCGGGGTCTATTTGTTACAGGAATAGGCAACATTATTTCAGCGCCGGTGAACTTAGGATGGTCGGCGTGGCATAAGATTTTATGAGGTCCGGTTTTCCTTGGATCTCTTGTATCGGATGAAAAGGATTGATTGTGTGATCTATTGCACTCCTGGGACTGTAGACTATGTCTTGGGAGTGGTATGTAGCCTGGTTTAGGGCAGAGGTTGTTTCAGCTACTTCCGTTCAGCTGTGGGCATTTAAGCTGGTGAGTGAGTCAGGGTGTGAACCCTGAAGAGAATGATTTCTAAAGCCCGAAAGCAGGAAGCTTGTTTGGAACACCTTTGGAAAAAGGGGTTTTATGTGGGAGGCCTACGGATGGGGTCCCACAAAAGGGTTATTCATCATTGTCAGGATTCAGTGGTTAGCAACCGTTAGTGATTAACGGACTAAAAGCGCCAAGAGAAGTAACTCATTGCCGAAGTATTAGTTGGAGCATCTATATGGTGGTCTTTAGGAAGTGAGTATGGAATCATTCACGAATTAGTGGTTGTCGGTTTCACTGGGATTCAGGAGGTGATCATGTGGTTCTTAGAAGTGTGTGATAAGTCAGGTCTAGCTAGCCATGGAACAATACTGGGAAAGAATTGGTTGTCATCGGATAAATCATTAGGAAGTGAGGAGGACTGAGAATCCTCCAATTTTCATGTATTATGAAGGCTTATTTGAATCTAAGTGGGGGATTGTTACCC